GTGTACCTGACAGAGGCATCAAAGAGAGTTCTCACCACTAGGCAGAGCCACTGAGCAAACAAAGATGGATGTGTATTTTTGCCAGATTTATTGGATTCCCACCATGGTATTGCCTGCCACATACAGGCTTTAATATATTGGGTAAATTGGTTATTCATTCTAGTATGAGCTTTCTTATCTGTAAAATGGGCATGATAATACCAATGTAACATTATTCATTTGTGGGGGTGGATGGGGAACTGAGGATTGAATCCAGGGGTGCTTTACCACTGAGTTACATCCCCACTCCTTTTTATTTATTCATTTATTTTATTTTGAGACAGGGCCTTTTGCTGAGTTACTGAGGTTCTCACTAAATTGCTGAGGCTGATCTGGAATTTGTGATCCTCCTGCCTCAGCCTCCCAAATTGCTGGGATTATAAGTGTACACCATTGTGCCCAACCAATGCAACATTGTTATTGAAAGAATTAAAGATTATACATGTGTGTGTGTGTGTACATATATAGTGCCTGACACATGCACACAAAAAAAATGCACACAGTCAAGACAATTTTTAAATACATTTTTTATTCCATAGCTTCAGTACCTTGCAACATAGTAGGAACATAGCAGATACTTAATCCACTGGCTAAAAATAATTAAACAATGTCATACCTACCTAGTCATCCTCACTTAATAAATCAGCAGATATGAATTATAGTCATTTTTTAAGGCTAGGAGCTCGCTTCTGTTTCCTACCATCCCAGAAACAGATCTTACCAATATTATTGAGACCCTTTAGAATTAAAAGTCCTCAAAAGTGATCAATGGCAAGATTTTTTTTTTAACCCATTTTTAAACACTACCTATTTCTTATCCTCTGAATGCAACTTTGCAAAAATTCTTGATTTGGAGTCTTTAAGAAAATGCCAAGCAAATAACATAAGGTAGAAATTTAACCACAGTGAAGGGCTAAGCACTATATCAACACAGATGCACTTGTTGCAGCTGACCTAAACAATAACAGCCTTAGCCAAAGGTATATACTCTAAATTTCCAAAGCATAGCAGGGAATTGTGATTAAATTATCCATCTTTATACTTAACAATGTTGCTAATCATTTCCTTTAAAATAGGTAATTGTTGTGAAAATCACATTAGAATTTAACCAAACTGAAAAAAAAATAGGTTTTTCTACAGTGTTTGAATAGAATCCAGAATTGGAAGAATTTTACACTTTTTTGCTTATGACTATAATAACTGTCGAAATAAACCACTAGTAGAGATAAGAGCCAGAACAGAAAAGAAGTAAAAAAGAATTCAATGGTATTTGTAAGATGTTGCTTTTTTGTATGAGTTGGATGGATTGTTTGTTTGGGGAAGGAGAAGAAAGTGAAAGAATGAAAGGACAAATTGTATAATATTTTTTTTTCTGTTTAAGTCTGTTGTCCTCATTGATGAGGAACTGCTGATTTTAATTAGAGATCATCAGCCTATAAAAACATGTGCATGCTGGTATTTAGTGCATTTTAAAAATGACTTGGTGAATCACTGGGTCACGCGAACAGGATTTAGATTCTCCAAAGTTGCCATTTGATGTGTATCTACGTATGTTTTAGTTTAGCCATTATATATGTTTTAGTTTAACCACTGAGATGCAATCCTTAAATAGGATATGGTTGCTTTCTTGGAATAACAAACCACAGCGTATAACTAAGTTAGGGCAGGATGAATTCAAAAGTGTTTGGATGAGCTGGGGGAAAATGATAAATGATGTATTATGATTTTTAAATCCTCATCTGGCCAACTTTGCACTTTATTTCAAACAGCTGTGGACCATTTGGAAGCCATTTTGTAGCTCAACTGAGTACTAATATTTACTGTATGAATCACATACCTTTAAAATATTTGTCTTTCCCTGAGAGAGAGAGACTGTTTCTTTCTGAAACTTAACTTTGACATAAATCAAACCCATCCTCATAGGTTAGGTTTGTGCACTTGATCATTGTGGTGGTCATTCATTGCCAAATGCAATCCTGCAAGCTTAGTGGTGTCTTCAAATAGAGCACTTTCTCCATTTGGTAGATTTGAAACATTCTGGGGGAACATTTTACTGAAAAAAATTTTAAAATATGTTCTAAAATAAGAATTTCCCCCACTTACCTTGTGTGTCTGTAACTCTTACATACTAGCATCATTCTCTTATATTTGAGCTCTTTGAACAATTCCATTAAATATAAAATTCAAACAACATCCTTGTCCAATTTTAAAAGGTAACATCAGGAGAAATACACAGTGAGTAGTATATTGGAGTCATTAGGTAGTTCTCAAAGGTGGAGGTTCTGATTATTGTGGTATAGACCACCTCGGATTTTAATTCTGATCTGGGCTACTCCCCTTTAAACACAATTACAGAAATATACCTCCTGAAATTACCCCCCTTTGAATTCTCCCTCTGAACATCTGCAGCTATTCAGGAAAGAGTGGATCCATTAATCCAATGTAATGTGACGTGATGAGTTTACTCTTTTCTAAAGTGGCATTTAGGCACTTACACGATGATCCCAACATAGCCAATCATCAATAGCCAATAGGGAGCCATTTATAGAAAACAGAGAACTCTGAATGCTAGTCAGGTATCCCATAACAACATCGATCCTGGAGTGAAAGCAGGGCACATGTTCAGCCTGAAAAGCATGGAGTTACCACCTTTCTCCCCTGGTTGTTAATCAACAAATTTCAGGAAAGTTAACACTTTGTGAAATGTTAACTGCCAGGAGCCCCATGAAAGGATAGCATCGTAGTAACACTGTTGCTGTTTCAATAGAAACTCAATGAAAGAAAGATGAGAGATGCTAGAATCAGGCCATCTGGCAATATCATCTTATCTGCTGCTACTTAGAAATGACACTTTGGGCGCTGCTGACAACCAAAGTGTGTTCTGTTTACCTTTGGAAGCTAAACGAACCCCAGTTAACTGATGGGGTCACCTGGTGTAGCATATTAATAAAAACATGATACAACTCTGTAAGGTACACAAATGTGTATTACCATCAAAGATATATTTACTAAATATTTCCTTCCAAGTCCTCAATAGTATTTCTATCTGTGTGGGAGGAAAACCCTCTCAGAACAGTTTTAAGGTTTTAAAAGTAAATGTAAACTTTGTCAGTTTGAGGTCATTAATTATAAATTGTGTCTTGGAAAGAGGTTTAAGGAAAAATTATAAACAGAAGTCTCTCAAGATTTCTACTATTTTTTTTGTTTAAAAACAACAAATGAAAGAGATATGGAGTATTGTTCAAACCATTTGCTCCACCCTAGCATTTATCTGTTTTCTTGGGTAAATTTTCAAAAAGGGATTTGAATGAGAATTCCAATAAGTCAGTTCAATAATTTAGAATACTCTTGTAATTTTGAAATACTTCTGTACTTGACTCAAAAGATTTATTGCCTTTTCCCTTTAAAAAATTCAAAACTCTTAAATAGAATTTTTAAAGTTTCTTTTGCTTCCTATTTAGTAGTGAGGGCAAATGATCATATGATTAATATTGCACTAATTCTTGAGGCTTTTTAAAATTGGCTTTATTACACCAAAATGCCAAGTGTAAAAGTCAAGCCTAAAGGCCTACCTACAGGAGAATAATTAGCACATTCATTTCATAGGGTCTTATTATAATTCTGTTGACAAGGTTAGTCATTTGTTTACCTTAAATAAAATGATCTGCTGTAATTAAAATATTCGTGAGTAAATAATTTTTCTCACATTTTGAATTTTGCAGTTGGAGACTGGGCTCAGCAACCCACAGTCATCATTAGAAACCAGAAATTGACCTCTCCTGCCAGCTAGCAGATATTTGGTCTCTAGACATAATTTATATTTAAATACTCTGAGGAATTCTAAAGCCACTTTTCAATACTAACCAGTGTCTGGTTTTGAGCTGAGCAGTATGAAAGTCTTGTGCCCTGCTGTAAAATTCAAGATGTGGGAAATTTAAAATAGTCACATCAAGGAAAACACATTTTAGTTTCCACAGCCATTGTTGAAAAATTTTTTGTTCTTTGGAGGGCTCATTTCAAAAGATTGCCAAACATATAGTCTAAAGCCTCGAAAGAATCAAGCTTAATGGCAGCAGATGACCACATGTGTTCACTGGGCCCATCTTTCACTTTGCAATCTAACGACCCCTCTCTGTTTAATTTAGCAATGTGACCTTTAGCATGCAAGCAAATCCTTTTTCCATTCTTTGGCCCAATTTTGGATGATTTTACTTTTATTTTCAAGATGATTTCCTCTCAAAACTGAAAACTTGTATAAACGGAAATTCATTTTAGACTATTGTTGCCTTTTCAAAATGAGGTGTCCACAGATCCTTGTCTTCCAGTGGTTTTGTTGAAAGGGACATGACCTATGCAAGCCTGGCATACATGTGGTCCTCAGCTGCTGGGGTCCCCTTCCACTCCCACATGTGTTCTTGACTGTGACCCCTGACTCCTGGAGTCTTTGAAAATAGAACCTCAATGCTAAAAATCTTAAATTAATGATGAAACTACAAACTCTATTGCATGTCCTTTGATTGGTTTATTGAACATGATATGTCATTTTTTATTTCTCTTTGTTTTTGTATTTAGCATGGAACATAAATATTAGGATATGACAGCACTGTGGAATTGTCTGTCCATCATATAAATATGAATACATTATTTATTCAGGTGTGGTTTCCTTGGGAACCTTCATCAATATTATCTATCTAAGCCAACTACTTCTGTTCTCAAAGTAACCCAGATAAAGTCCTTTCATGTGCATTATGTAAAATGTAAAATTTTAACATTGTTAATCTTCTTATCTTGTCTACTTCTGATCTTTCAAATTTGTTTCCATGGGAAAACACTATCTTCAGGGAGATATATATTATTATATAATTATATGTATGTGTGTGCAATTATCATTCTGTATTGTATGTCTCTGAAAACAAAAGCAGATGCACTTTCTAATTTAAGACTCTTTGTTGTTGTCACAGGTCTATAAAAAGAAAACCGAGGCTGCAAAGAAGGAGTACCTGAAGCAACTTGCAGCATACAGAGCCAGCCTTGTATCCAAGGTAACGTGCAATTGTGTGGTATTGTGACGGATTGTGGCCATCTCGTGCAGACTTTGATAGTCATTTAAAAACATAAAAGATCACTCTAGCATTCTGCACAGTCTTCTTTGTTGGGAAAAAAATACCATCCTAAACAAAGCTATAAGTTATGGAAATATTTGTTCATCACTAAAGGATCAGAGCTCACCCTCTTGGCTTTTCATAAAAGGCTGTCCACGTATGAACTTTTGGTTTGGTAGAGTAATTGTGATACATTCTTAATCCTGAACCAACTTTCCATTTCTCCATACCCAACTCTTAAATCACCTCCCTCCTTCCCATTGGCCTTTACTGAGGAGATGCCAACTATTTTAAGTTCCAGCCTCATTGCATCATGATTAAAGAAAAAAAGCTGGCCATGAGGGAAAGAAATAAATCACATCATTTTGTTTGAAAATAAAAACACCACTTAAAAATGTTTTGTGCTTCAAAATATCTTACACACCAAATCCTGCTCTTGGAAATACTCAAGAATTTTCTCAGTTTGGTCTCGTGTTATTAAAAGTGCATTTTCCCCTTGCAGAATCCTCAAGGAGGTGACCACAGCAAGACTGGGTTGAGTCTAGAAGGATTTGGCACTGTGTCAGCTCAAGTCTGGACTTGGCTGTTAATTTGTTCATTGTGGCCCTGGGGCTCTGGACTTCATCTCATTCATGCATGAAATACTTTCTTTTTTCATCCACAAATATCCATTCCCATTCTAACAACTCTAAAATAATTATATAAAGTAGCTTCTTTTTAAGGAAAATATGTGCTGAATTGATTGATGCAGAAAAAATAAGAAAGAGGGCAAAATACAAATAAGGAATTTCAGTAGTGTTGGTCTAATTCGACTGCCTATTCCACTTCTAAAATATGACACTATGAGAAAACTTAGTATTCGTGATTTAACCTTCTAACTCTCTTGCATTGTCTCAGGCTAGAGCTCACCATTGCTAATTCATCTAACTCCTTTTAAAGCTGTTTATATTTTCTACTGATACCATTTCACATTTTGATGTGTATGTGTGTGTGTGTGTGTACACACCAAAATATGTGTGTGTGTGTATATATACATATATATGTACACATACATATAGATGTATATGTATGTACATATAAATATACATATATAATTCACAGAATGTACATGAACTCATAACAAAATTTGGTGGATAAATATACATAAATATAATACACGGAATGCACATAAAATTATAACAAAAAAATAAGCAAATGTTGGATCCTTTCAGTCATTACTCATATTGATATTGCTACAGATCGATGGGCCAAATATAAAGGAGACTTGGAAAAAATGAATTCTCTCTATCTCATCCAAGATAAGTTTCTTTTTGAACATTTTAAATAGAGTTTCAGAGCATTTTAACACATGAGAAAATCAATACAGGAAGTTCCAGTCCCAATACAAAGCACTCTGGTTAATGACATGCAGATTGCCAGAATGCTATAGTACTGACTAAGCCTTTACTTCCAAAACAAGTGTCCTCAGATTTGCTCTTAGCTGCAACTTTTCTCACTATTCAGCCTCAGAGCTGCAACCCCCAGTATATGGCAATTTATATAAATGCTGCGAATTGCCGTTTCTACATTTAAGAAACCAAGCACTTTTTTTACAGCTTACTCTGACATTTTTCTTCTCTTTGGCAGTGGGGATTTTGCTAGAGCTGTTGAATCTCTATTTATGTACAACTATCTATTATGGTATACAAATTGAAGGAAAGTTACAATCACTTTTCCAGGTTGGGAAAAATGACTCTCTTGATGCTGTATGTGAGCAGGTATCTGCTGTATAACCTTCTACACACCTACAGAAAAATGTACCAAGCTACCCTCCCAAAGCATATGGTACATATATAAAAATTCATTTCTTTTCCATTTTAGTTGTGACTAGGCAAAAATAATAGCCATTCATATATAAACATATATTTTTCTACATTATAGGGGTTTTTTTTTACCATGTTTTAAATTATTTCCCTATTCCAAAAGTCTTAAAGCAGCAAAGAGAAAATTCTTCTTAATATAATAGTTAAAATTCTAAGGAATCACATGTGACAGCCAGGCTCTCTGTTGATTTTTTAAAAATTTTTTTTCCACTAATTCATTATTTATTTGGTAATTTTTTTTTCTGGGCATGTGGTCTTTGCCAGGTTTAGAAGATGCAATGGTGAACCAGCAAATTCATTCCCTAGACATTAAGAACTTTTTGTTTTATTGAGAGACCAATAGTGAAAATTTAAATTAATAAATAATCAAGGTATTTTAGAACCTAAGGGCATAAAGCAAAGGATCTGTTGGGCGGGATTTGCAATAGTTTCTTGGAAGAGGTAACATGGAAATTGGGGATCCAAGGAGGACAGAAGTTTGCAGAAAAAGAGAGACTAAGGGGAAAGTAAAACAGGCAGCTCTTCAGCAAGTGCAAAGACTTGGGGTGCAAAACATCTCTCTGAGTTAAGAGGAGATCGGTATTTCCAGAGCTAAGTGATCAGGAGCATGAATAGAGATGAACCTGGGAAGGTGGACAAGAGCCCTTCACAAATGCCTTGCAGGGTGGTAAAAGGAACCAGGGTTTATTCTCACTTGGAAGGGAAGCCACTGAGTGGATTTCAGTAGGGGATGGCATGAACAGGTGGACATTTTTAAAGGATCACTTTATGTGCAGGAGTTCCCTTAATACTCTTGCCTTACTCCTTGAAGTAGGTTTGATTCCCAACATTTCACTAAAGAGGAAGAGTAGCACTCAAGTAAACAGAGACAGAGTGATGAAGTTGGCATTGATCTAAACCACTCCTTGGCCCTTCTTCCTTTTCTTTTTGTCGGGGGGCGGGGGAGGGAAGTGTGACCCAAGTCCTATTCTTGGTCTTTCTGATGGGCCCTGCTACATCTGCCAAACCCCATTTCCCCAAAGTCATTCTCTCTTCAAAGGTCATTCTTACCCACGAAAAACTGTTTTAACTAGAATGCTGTGTTCGTTTTCGAAGGTTCTTCCGAGCAACTCTGGTTTACTCCTCCAGAGTTGCATATTTTGGAATCTATTTTCTCTGCAATGCATTCATTTTGCCAAATAAGGCTTTTCATTCCTAGGCCAGTAGATCTTGGTCACTTGCAGTCACATCACAGGGTCTGCTGCTTCCTCTCTGGGATGTGCTTTGCATCCAGCACAGGGTGCTCAACACCTGTTCCATGTCAGGCTGATGGCTAGGTGCTGAGAGACATAAATGGGTAGGAGAGATTCTGGTAGAATGTTTCTTGATACTTAGAAGTTTGAAGCTGTACTCTAAAATTAGCTACTTCTTCCAGAACCTGAAGCTGTCATGGGATTAACAATGCTCTCCGCCCCTTTCAGTCATTAGTTCTTTAGTTTACATGTATGATATGCCATCTAATACAGCATATTCATTAACATGACCCCAGGCTTGAGTAAATTTGAAATCTACCTCCCTCTCCCTTCCAAAAAATAAATGAATATTCTCATCTTTGTACTTTCAAGTGATACATTCATACATATCATCAGCAAATTGTTGGATTGAAATTTTTTTCACAGTAAGATCACAAATACAAATGGCATCCTGCTACTGGGGTGCCCCTTGGGGCCGTACACTGTGCTAGGCTTTTTGTGTAGATTCGGTTTCCACCACAACTTTGTCCTGCACAGTAGGATAGAGCCCTGCTCTCTCTGGGCAGAGACTAAATAGCTTGCCCATGGTGAGGAAAGAACACTAGTGGCAGAATGAGAACTCAGACTCCTCAGTGTCCTGGTCCAAAGGTTCTAGGCTTTTCTCTACCCTGAGCAATTGTCAAATATTTGCATCCTTAGAACTGGTGCCTCTTATTCTCTCTGATAAAATTCTGTGCCTCCTTTTACATATGAACAGTTTAGAGTACAACCCAGCAGGCTGTGTACTCGTAGCTGTCACACCACATCACTGCATCTGGAGACTACCCAGAGACCTTTAGGGAATCGGCCCTGCAAAGGGTTTGGAAGCCACTACTTTGTACCACCTTGTCCCAGGAGAGTGGCTGCTTCACCTGGTCATGTGGAACCAGTGACAGAAATGCCCAGTTGGGCTACTCCCCACTGTTCCAGCATGCTGCAATTACCCATCAATAGGAGCATGGAGTCCTGCAAACAGAGTTAGGTAGACCCCAGAATAATTTATCCAATTTTACACTCTGTAAGTTATTAAAGGGAGAGGTGGGAAAGGGGAAATAATTGCTAAAATATCAAAGATGAAAAGGTAGTAGCAGAGAAGAGAGGATTCAAGTTTATTAAACCTGCAAAACAGAGAGGGTGCTCAAGCCGGCAGTGGAAATTAGACATAAGACAGAGATGACTCGAAGTCCATTTTCTCGCTGTAGGTTCCATTTCAAACTAGAAGCATTAATCAGATCGGGGCATTGCTGAAATCTGGAATTGTTGTACTAAACAATTTCTTTCCTTAAAAAATATAAAAGCAGAAGCTTATAAATGAGAGTTGAAGGTCTCTGAGGTACCCTCAAGCTCCTGGGTATGGGTTTTTTTTAAAATAAATGACAGCAGAATGTATTACAATTCTTTGTACACATATACAGCTCAATTTTTCGTATCTCTGGTTATATATAAAGTAGGTTGACACCAATTCATGTCTTCATACATGTACTTTGGATAATGATGTCCATCACATTCCACCATCCTTGCTAACCCCCTGCCCCCTCCTTCCCCTCCCACCCTTCTGCCCTATCTAGAGTTTGTCTGTATGGGTTTAAGGGAGCCATATTAGAGGACTTCGAAAAGAACCACCACTGTCATACTGGGGGAGTGCTCAGAGGGTAGAAAAGTCTGGAGCCACTGGGGATGAAGGAATATGGGTTCAAATTCCAGGTTTTCTACTTTCTAACTCCATGTTTTCATTCGGTTGCTTAGATGTTCCATGACTCAACTTGCTCAAGTGTTAAACAGAGAAGACACCATCTATGTCATAGAA